ATATATATAAATTGATTATGCTAATATGTAGTCAATTGAATTGCAGAGGGATACAATAGGATGTCATTTGGTGAGGAACAAGAAGCTTCAAAGGAGTGAATGCTGAAAAGAGAAGGTAGTCTTGAGGAATAGGACTAGGAATTCAGATTGGTAAGGGAAAGGTATTTCAGGCAAAGGACAAGTAAACAGAGACATAAAGACACAAAATGGTAAGTATGATATCTATTAACAATTGCAAATGCTTTGGAATGATTGGATCATTGGGTGGTATAGAAGATAAGTCCTAAAAGATGCCAGAAACCTAAAATAACATTCTGAAGAAATAATTTATGATAAGAAAGAAAAGAGTAATATCCTCTATTTTTAGGGCAGAAATAGGAACAGGCACCTTCTTTTGAAGGATCTATGTCATTGACTCCGGAAAGAAGACAAAGAGCCAACTTTCTTCAGAAATCACAGAGGAGGGGAGTGTATGAAGACAGTGTGTGGAAGGATAGAGCTAGGTCCTGAGTGGTAGTTGATGTAGTGTGGGTTAACCAAAGAGCCATAAACAAAACTTCAGGGCCAACTGAACTAATAGGAAAGAGGGCAGACTGACCTGAGAATGGTCTGTTTAGTATTGTGTTTTAAAACCTTGGATATCAAGATATCAAAATTCTTTAAGCTGTGTACATCCTTTGATCCAGCAATTCATCTTCAAGAATTTTTACCAAAAAACAAACTAAGGTGAGCCCTAGCCAGTGTTGCTCAGCGGATAGAGTGTCAGCCTGGGGATTGAGGGGTCCCGGGTTCGATTCCAGTCAAGGGCACCACGTACCTCGGTTGTGGGCTCCTCCTCAACCCTAGTCTGGGCCCTGGTCGAGGCTCCTGTGGGAGGCAATCAATCAATGTGTTTCTCTCACATCTACATTTCTCTCTGTCTTTCTTTCTCTTCCACTCTCTCTAAAAACCCTCAAGAAACCACAAACAAACAAACAAAAAACAATGGAAAAATATCCTTGGGTTAGGATAAAAAAAAAAACCAACTAAGGTAAGTATATAGTTTTAGCTGAAGATATTTATCACAACACTGCTTATATAACTAAAAATTAGAGTCAACTTAAATATCTTTTCACAAGGGATTAGTTAAATAAATTATGGAAAACCCATACAGTGGAATATAGGGCAGCGAAGTAAATGGAAGCATATATTGTTTATAGGAAAAGAAGCACACTATGAAACTATTGGGGGTAAAGTAAGTAATAGTAGAGTCAGCATAATTAAAACCCAAGTCTTCACCTGTAAAAATTTCTGCACAGAGAATAAGTTTGGCAGTATACTAACCAAGGTGTTCATAGTGATTGTCTCTCGATAAGATTATGGTTAATACTTATCCTTTTGTTTTTGCTTATCTGAGTTTACTAATTGTTTTTTAACATTGAATATGGATGATGTGTATAATGTGTCTGGCTTCTTTGTAACAATTACAGCATATTTATTTAAATCTCACCAAATACCTGTGGAGAGTGAATGAATACAGTCTATTTTGGCTGCCTGAGTAACCTGAAATGGTCATTGTGTTATATTGCAATAGAAAATATAGAGTGTGCCCTCAGATTGCTTTAAAATGTGAAAGAATTTAGAATGGACCTAGACTGTGGGTCTTTAAATGATATGTGCAAGAAGAAAAGTATTTAATGATAAAAACAATTAATTTAATCATAGAAGTCAGAAATTAATATTTCTGTAAAATTTCTGTATCGTGACAGCAAAGAGGGAAACTGAGATCCATCTGGCAAGTGAGACAGCTTGCTGGTCCCATTTTCCACAATTATGTTAAATCATTATGATTATTATCAATGAGGGGTGGGGGTCAGTCTGTCCCTGAAAGCGTGCTTTAAAAGTTCCCTTTTACACAGCAATTCTATTCTCAGGGACCTCTTTTACAAATAACCCACATAAGCACAAACTATCTGTACAATGACTTTCTTGCATTTTGTTTATAGGAGAAAAACATTTAAAACATCAGAGCATCCATCTTAGAGAAAGGGTAGATGAATTAAATACTGTGGAATTCTACGTAGCTACTAAAAATTAACATACTAGCTTGGTAAAAATCCCCATGTTTTTATAAAAAAGGTCAATTAGTATAATATTAGTGTTCCATTTGTAGAGGACCTTGGGTGTTATTTTATATATTAGTATTGCTGGAATTTTAAACATTTACACTCAGCAGGCACTTGCATTTTAAAAAAATATGTAATTAAATGTAAATATCAAATAAGTAATTCTAGGAATATATGCAGTATCATGAAGGAGAATTATTAGTATATTTCAAATAGTTAATAAATATTATATTGTAGAATTCTCATGAATATTTATAAGATTATGTTCTTGTTGAATAAATTAATCCCCTCCAAACTTTAATGTTTTTAACCAAATTAATTAGTAGGTCTACTGCAGAAGACTTCCAGTCTTCTCTATTTTCTTATACCAGTGGTCGGCAAACTCATTAGTCAACAGAGCCAAATATCAACAGCACAACGATTGAAATTTCTTTTGAGAGCCAAATTTTTTAAACTTAAGCTATGTAGGTAGGTACATTGTTATTAACTTAATTAGGGTACTCCTAAGCTGGCCTTTGCTAAAAACGTCCTCAGTCTGATTGAGGTACGTTCGCTGAGGTCGACCCTTCCAACTGTCCCATCCACACTCTTCTTGTATACTTGTTTCAGATAGAGGAGTATGGATGGGAGAGTTGGAAGGGGTTGACCTCAGGGAATGTACCTCAAAACAATGTACCTCCCCCACCGACCAACCCGACACTCCCCACTTCTAACGCCACCTCTTCACAATAGACTCGCCCAGGCCGAAAACCGACTTCTGCGCATGGGCCACGCGGTATTTTGTGGAAGAGCCACACTCAAGGGGCCAAAGAGCCGCATGTGGCTTGCGAGCTGCGGTTTGCCTACCACTGTCTTACACTTTCTGAAATATAAAAATTATCTTAAAGAAAACCACACATTTTCCTACCATTATCAGTTACCTTTTCCTATGAATTAATTCATTCTTAAAAGAGTTTTATAAATCATATACTATATGTTTGGCACTGCAGAGTAGAAGGCAGAAATTGTCCTATTCTTTGTGGAACTTACAGTACTTTGAACATCTAACATGGTGCAAAACTAAAGAGGCGATAAAAACCACCAGGATTTGCTGGTGTTATAAGAGCCACAGACTAGTTCAAACAAAAGCAATGCATATTATAATAAATGATATGCAAATGATATGCATATATGTATATGTACATCTATATCATAAATTCATATGTATTTTATATATTTAATCATCTATGTTTATGTTCATTTAAAAAATAAATGATGCCAATAAATAAAGTCAACTAAAATACATAGGACCACTGAGGGCAGTTTAAGAACCATGGTAATGTCCAAAAATATTCAAAGAAAACAATCAGCAATTCAAATGTCAAATTTGAGATAATGATAATAGAGCAGCACAAAAAACATTTGGGTTTAGGCATTGTCAGGTTGATGATTTAAAGACAGACTAGGGAAGCAAAATGAATTTCCCTCCTACTGAGGGTTTCTTGTTCTGTTTATTGTGTCTAACATCGGTGTTTGGATTTCTTTGAAAGGGCCTAAGATGGTTGCTTATTCTGGGTAGTCACAGAGAGTTGGGACTGGAAGGAACATAATCCCTGTTGTAGCTATTTACACATTGCATTTCCAATTATGTGTTTATACATCCATGCCCTCAGCTCCCTGCCCCCAACTAAATAGAGATTTCCTTGAGGGCAAGATGATATTTTCTTTATTTTTTATTCCCTAATATCGGGCATAGTTCCTGGCACAGAAGAGATGTCTCATTAATATTGGATGAATATATAAATATATGATAGTATAGAATCACAAGCTACTATTTTAGGGTCAGCATTCACATGGGTATATCACTACTAAGATAATTAGTATAATTATATATGTATATTATAATATAAAGGCTGATTTATAATAGGCTCATATATATTAGGTTAATATATAATTATATATGTAGTTAATATATATAATTATACATATATGATATATAATATATTTAACATATATAATATATACATGTATTTAAATATATACAGAAAGAAATAATTTTTATATAGGTTGCATAATATATATTTTATGTAAAATCAAACTAATTATCTTAGTAGTCATTCATATATATGTAAAGGTTGCCATAAATAATCAAGGGCAACTGATAGGCAATAATATCCCACAGAACCCCCATTATGGCTCAGGAATGAAAAAAGAAGCCTTGCAGATGAGAAAGAGAAGCATAATCAACTCTCCATTACTCATTCATGAGGATCTAAATAATATGAGAAAAGCTCTTAGGCCAGTCTTGACACTGGGTTACTGTGATTTCAGAATTATTGTTTTATCCCACTATACAGAATCCTATATTACTGGGAATAATAAAAGGGAATAAGTAGTTTTCAGTAAATAATGAAAGCAATATACTTGCTTTTATAGTCTAGGAAAGAAAGAAAGAAAGAAAGAGCAAAAATACAGCAAACTATGATTTTGGGTAATTTGGATAGTCTTGATTTTTGAACCAAAGTTCTTATAATCAGCACCAGTTGTTAAATTTTAGTAGCTAGACTAAAAATCTCTTCTATGTCATTAACACTAAGAATGCTTCATTTTGCCCATGCTGAATTTAGGGACCTTCACCAATACCCATTTTGAAATCTGTAGGAAACCTTTGGCTTTCAATGTTAATTAATTTCTTGGCAGAGGATTTGTCCTTCATTGTGAATAAATACAATAGTTTTAATTGTGGAAATACCCAGTTCAAAGAAAAAAAATAGGTAAGCAGTTGATATATATGATATATATGATATATAGATATAGATAGATAGAACAGCATATTTCATTTATTTTTTAATTACAGTTGACATTTAATAATAAGTCCAGTACCTCTATTAAGGGTATGTGTGCTTTGCTTTGCAGGAAACTCTGAATGCCAGTATTATGTCTGGGCAATTATAGCCTCCTTGGTTTTAGCTCTGGTTATATCACTGATCTTCAATGTTTCCCACTATGTGGAAAAGCAGCGACAAGGTAAGACATTTTGAGAAACAGCCATATGGGACCTGCTTGAATCAAAACTGATTCACTGGAAAACCTACAGAAGAAAATTTTATAAAATATTATGAAATAAGATATTTTTATCTATAGAAAATCTACTTGACACATTTTCACCCTAAGGGTTATCTTAATTTAAGAATTCAATCATAGCCTTTCCTTTTTGGCTCAGTGGTTACAGCGACGGCCCAGACGGCCCAGGAACTGAAGGGCTGCGGGTTCAATTCTGGTCAAGGGCACATACCTCCATTGCAGGCTCGATCCCCATCCCCAGTCGGGGTGCATATGGGAGGTAACCAGTTGATGTGTCTCTCTCTCATCAATGTTTCTCTCTCTGTTTCTCCCCCTCCCTTGCACCCTAAAAATCAATGGAAAAATATTCTTGGGTGAGGATTAACAGCAACAACAAAAAAGAATGCAGCCATATTAGAAATATTGAAGACTCCCAATCTTCATTTTATCTTTGCCTTAAGGTATAGAGTAGGAAGAGATTGTCCTAATAAAACATGTTTTTCCTTCTCCAATTAACCTATAAAAGTAGTCTATCCTGGAACAGCCATAAAGCTTCTCCCTGACACATGATGAGAAAATTGAAGACTGGCTCTTTCAGGTTCCACTGGAGCCTACTCAAACTTCTCAGCTGGTGTCAGGGCCTCCACAGTGCAGAAGACTCTTTGGGGATCAGAAGGAAACTGAACCATGGGCTTGTGTTTAAACACTCCTAGGGCCTAGGAGGGCAGGTTAAAGGGACCTGCCACTGTCAGCTTTTCTTTGCAACAAGCTGAGCAACAGTTTTAAACCTATGAATTTCACTCTAACGTGCATTATTGTAATAGGGTAGTGCCCAAAAACTAGCAAAATCTTTGCACAATGTGGGCATTCAATATATGTACAATGAATGCATGAATTGATTGAATGGGTAGATGGATGGATGATGGGTGGATGGATGGATAGAAAAATAAAAATGTAACTATTTTTGGGTGGGGATCTTAATATTCTAGAACCAACAAACTATTAGGGGCAAAACATTTAAATGATAATAAACAAATAGAAAAGACAAATACATCTTCTTTTGACAGATGAAAAGAAATAAAATGAAATTAACCAAAGTAAGTTAGACACATGTGACCAAGAAACACAGCATAAAGTTAAATGAGAACGTTGGTCAGATTCTGAGGAGAGTCCTTGATTCTCTTAGGAGTGTCTTCTCCATTGCTGCTAACAAATGCACAATATGAAGAGGAAGGCATCATTGTCACATGGGTCTGAAAGAAAAATGAGAGGTACTAGAAAATGAAGTGGCATAGCTGAGGTCACACATCTATTTAGTAGAAAAATCAAGGATAAGTGCTCAGTTTTTCTAATTCTCTGTCCAAAATGGCATCCACCAGCTCGTGCTGACCGAATGCCCTCAGCCAGAAACCCTACACTCTTTTAGGGTCTCTATTACATCATTTCTATGCTTAAGATGAAATTCCAGACAAGCAACGCTTTTTCATTAGCAGTGATATTAGTAACTACTTTTAAAATCAAATATTTTTCAAAGTTTATATCAGATGCACAAATGACCCATCATCAGACATCTTCTTTAAAAAGTTTCCTTCCTTTAGAGAAAGAAAATGAGCTAAGATTAGTACTTTTCTTTATTAGTACAGTAGCTTAAAATGAATATATTTTAAATTTTATTAAAGTGTTTTATGAATGCAGATAATATTTTCACCCGAGTTAGAAAAACTGAATTGAGAACTATAGATGTGAAATAATTGAAGGGGGAAGCCAGGACAGCAATATACATCTGAACTAGTGCTCTTCTCTTCCACTGACTCCAGTGGCAATCATTTGGAGATTTGTGTGGGGCCAGAGAAACATGTGGGTTTTCCAATTCTCATTTTTGATAATTTATACGTTGAAATTTATTTATCCATATCCATACCATTTTGCCACCATACAAACTCCTTTGGGGAATTGTTTGCTTATCATGGTTAATTGATCACTGCTAAAAGAGTAGCAGGTTTTAAGTTTTTTAAAGACAGATGTATTTTTATTTCTTCTCAGTACAAATCCTTACTGCCTCTAGCATACTGTTAGAAGCACCTCTCACCAACACCAGAGAGGTGTTACTGGACAGCCCCGAGTTAGTGGAGAGGGCTGTTCCCAACCTCATATAAATGAATTTATACGAGAAACCTTGCCTGCATAGTGAAAAGCCACTTTATTAAAGCATGCACCTTTATTGAAAAAGCAAAGCAAGCAAACCTTTACAGCTGGCTTATGAGCACAGATGGGCTCTAAGCTAATTTGAAGAGCAGGTTGGGTGGGGGTCCGAGGCGTTATATACCTCCTGTTTATAGGTTTCAAAATTCCTCTGCTGAATATCTTGGTACAGATTAATTCTCAAGGTCCCTATTTACTTTGTTGTGGACTTCCCGGAATTCATGAAAAGCACCTGGCAACTTCATCTTGCCAAGTCTTGAAACTGCTGGCTTCTCTGCTTCAGGAGTAAAACTGCCTTTTTTTTCTTTTCCCCTTTCCCCTCCCTTTCTGCATTCTCTCATTAGGGAGGTCTTATTAACCATATGCTCTCCTGTCCTCGGCTGGGGAAGATAATGGCTTGTTAGTTAAAAACTGGCTGGAATTGCCCACACTGTCTAGCCTTGTTTTAACTTTCTTCTCAGTTTCCCTATTCCTCCTGCCCTGGAATCCTATAACAATACCATAAGTAAATCTATGGCCTTAAAGCAGTATAGAGGGAAATCACATTTTTAAAAAAACAGGAAATAATAAATTACATTCATTGATGTATTTTAAAAAGTCAGTTTCAGTCACCTCAATTGTTTTTAGCATCCTTGCTTTTAAGTCAACCTGATAATAATTTAGAACTCTGTTTTCCTGGGAGATCTTATACAAGCAGTATAAGTTCCCAGAGTTCCAGTTTCCTTATCTACAAAGTGTCGTAAACATCATCTTCTAGACTATAGGGTTCTTGTGAGAATTACACAGATACAGTAGTCCCCCTTATCCAGGAGGGATACGTTCCAGGACCGCCAGTGGATACCTGAAACTGTGGATAGTACCAAATCATATATGTATTATATTTTTTCTCACACGTATGTACCTATGGCAAAGTATAATATTTATATTAAGTATAGTAAGGTATGAATAGTAATATAACGATATAGAAAAATTACAATAAAATAAGGGTTATTTGAACACGAACCCTGTGATACCATGGCAATCGATCTGATAACTAAGAGGGCTGCTAAGTGACTAATGGAATGGGCAGGGAGTGTGTACAGTGTGGATGGGCTGGCCACAGGGTGATTCACGTCCCAGGTGAGACATAGCGGGACAGCTCGAGATTTAATCATGCTACTTGGAATAGCATGTAATTTAAAATGCATGTATTGTTTATTTCTATTTAATATTTGTGAACCTCAGTTGACTGTGGGAAAGTGAAACCACCAATAAGGGGTGGGGGGCTGCTGTACCTCATCACAGGGATAGGTACTTAGTAGGTGGGTCCTGGACAGGGTACAGCCCACATCACCATTCTTGATGGCCTCCGTGCCTCTTTCCCTCACTCCACAAACATTTGTAAAGGAGTTACTATGGGCACATTTTATCCCACTTAATTTTAGTGCCTGTTATTTCAGTGAACATGAGTTCTTCTGGCTTCTCTGCTCCCACCATCCCTATACTCTCTAGCTCCCATCCAGCTGCCATCTCACGTCCTGTCCCCACCTCTATTAAACACAGTCACCTGAGTTTTAGCAATAACTGTTGTGTTCATTTAAGTCACAGGTTCATCTTAGCGAATTTTCTGTAGGTTTTCAAAGCATTGGCTCTAAACATTAGCCTATTGCAAATTATTTTATTTGAGATGCGATGTGTCCTCCTTAGGTGGTGCACACAACCCTGGGTACTTTATTAGTGTGTAACCTAAGATTAGATTTGGAGCAATGTTTATGCTGAAAGAATGCCCTTCATTCTCATCCCCTCTCCTTTTTCTGTCTGTTGTCCCTTTCTATCCTCCCCAGCTTCTCCCAAATATTAGTTAATATCTGCCTATGTTCTATTACATTTGAACAAATAGCATTATGTTTCTTCCCACCCAGAGATTCCAGGTGGATTTGGGATTAGCTCCTTGTTTTGTTTCTGCCAGACAGACAGAGAGACAGGCTAGAAGAGATTCCATCCCATTAGCCAGCTTTTCTGTCACTTGGTCTGGGAATGCAGTACCTCATGTAACTTTCTTTTTAATTTAATATTTTTATTGTTGACACTATTGCAGATGTCCCCCATTTTCCACCCTTTGCTCACCTCTACCCAGTCCCTGCTACCGCCCTTGGCCCTCCCCACACCATTGTCTGTGTCCTTGGGCTATGCATAAGCATTCTTTAGCTAATCCCATCACCTTATTTTTGCATCTTTGTGCTATATTTTTGTGGTTAAGAAACTTGCAAAATATAACCCCACCTTGGCAAACAGTCAGTGAGTAAGTTCTGCTAGTGTATTAAATAGTTTACAAAAGACAATCTCTATCCCAGCAGCAATATAGTATCTACACATTCGATCAGATAGACACGATAAGCCTCTCCTTGATGTTTTCTGTAGCTGTGCTGGGTAGAAGCTTTGAAATGGAGTTCTTCCTTCCATGCAAAATAAATCTTTCATTTTTATGTAATTTTTTGTCCAAACCTATTAGGATGGAATATGTTGTGTGTGTTTTTCTGATAGAACTGCATTCATTGTTTTCCTCCTTTAAAGCAAAAAAATAATCTTTATCCAGCCTTTCTTCTCTGTTTGAGGAGGATAAACAAGTGTATGGTTTGCTAGTACGTCAAAGTCCTATCAGTATATCTCCTGTTCACTAGAAAATTATGCCACACTTTTCACATTAAAATGTATCAAGGATTTTTTTATTATGGAGTTTCAGCCATGTGCTATTGTTCTGGTTGTTATGCATTGTGCATGGA